TGTGTGTGTGTGTGTGTGTGTGTGCAGTCATGTTACAGCCCTGCTCACCTCCTGTCATGCCCGTGACAACTGAAGCGATTCCTGATTGGCCGCTGCCTCTCAGCCCGTCGATGGTCATCTTTGATTGGCTGTTGATTCTCTGCTTCAGTTCTGCCTTCTCYGATTCCAGCTGATCAATGTCTGCCTGCAGAGCGTCCATCGTCTCCTCAAACTCCCTGCAGAGAGGAGGACATCGTCACCTCGAGCCACACTCACTCTGCAGTGCACTCCGGGTTTTACTGCTCTCACTTCTCCTTCTTCTTCAGCAGAGTCTGAGCCTCGTCCAACTGAGTCTGAATCTTCTCGACACGTTCGTCTGCATCTTTGGACGAGCTGTCCAGCTTCTTCTCCAGCAGGCTGAGACGGACGTTAGCCTCGCTAAGCTCCTCCCCCTAAAAATAAATCAAGAACTAGTCGAACAAATACCTGTTTTTTTAAACTTTTACTTTCTTTTTGTTTTTCATCAAACATCACACTTTGATGGACACAGAAAGAAATCTATTATGTTGTTTTGTTTTTTTACATTTCTTATTCAGTTCAAACATCTAAATGAAGGCACTTCTTTACTTGGATTGTTGCAAAGTTATGTAGGAATGTTTAGTTGAACTGAGATCTTTCATTTTAGTTGAGTTTTTCTGAACTCTTCAATCAGACGCTGAACATTAAGAGTAATCTACACAGCTTTGACGAAGAAGRATATTTCTACCTTGATTTTCAGAGACTTCTTCAGCTCCTTGATGACGGTCTCTCTGTCCTCCAGCTTCAAACCGAGTCCTTCTGCGTCTGTGATTTCAGCTCTGAGAGCCGCCGCTCGCACATCCACCGGCGGAGGGTTCTGTGGGAAACGCAGGCGTTTAACGTGACGAGGAAACTCAGAGAACTGCCTCCGGCTGGAACAGCAGCCGAGTCACGGTGAAATGTTTTAYCATGTCAGACCCACCTTGCTTTGGGGCTTCTCGGAGTCGTACTCTCCTTCCTGCATGGCCGTTGCCATCTTGTTCATGGTTGCAATGACGACGCTGCTGGACTGTCGCAGACACTCATAGGGGTTGGCACCTGGAGACCCGTAGATCTGTAAATGACGGAAAAAAAGATCTCAGGGTCAAAAACCCAAATGAAGGCAAAAGGAACCTGAGAATTTAAACTAACCAACATTTAATTCATTCATCTTGTTTTGTTGTTGTTTGTTTTTGTTTGTTTGTTTGTTTCAGGTTGCCCTGCATGCTGCAGCCTCTCACTTGTTCTCCAGCCTTGAAGGCCACGTCCTCCAGTTTGACGGCCGCCAGCCCCTCCTGTTCACCCAGAGGTGACATCATCTGCGCTCCAGCTGCTGCCACTTCCTGCAGCACCGCCACCATCCAGGTCAGGTGTTTGCGGCAGTCTGACAGCGTGTCGCACACCTGCAGGAAACGACGCCACACGTCAGCAGCAGAACAATAAAAGCAACGACGGCTCTGAGGCGCGGCCGCTGCGGTCACCTGCTGTCCGAAGCCGAGCGCAGCCGGGATGCCCGGAGCGTCGGTTCCGGGCATCCTGCGGCGGATCTTTTTGCAGAACTGCCTGATGTCACTGCAGGACGTCTCCAGGTCCTTCAGCAGCACCGCAAAGTCGGCCTTCTCCTGAGCCACGTGCAGGAAGGCCCGCAGGCGGCCCACCTCCACAGACATGCAGTCCAGAGCACTCTGGGTGAACTGCACAGGAACACACTTCCAGTCAAAAACACTTCAAACTGTCATCTTCACACATTTATGGGATTCCTGAAGCAACCAGTCACAGCAGTGATATGCTGGAGTGTGAAACTGAATCTGATGCACTGAGTGAGGTGGGATGGGTGAGGTTTCATCTATAAACTGAACTTACTCTGATGTGATCAGCCAGCTGCACGGTGCAGTCCTCATTCTGATCAGCCAGGTGGATGCTGTACAGGTGCTGAAGCACAACAAGTGTTAAAGTGGACATATCCTGATTKTAAATYCTCCTTTTTCACATTTAAATCATTCAGTTGGGCTCTAWAGAAAGTGGAACTGCAATGCTTTGGTCTGAACTCCTCCTTATTGTAACTCCACAAGCCCATCTTTCACCCCTGTTCTGTGTGTCTCAGTTCAACTCGTTTTGATGCTGTCTCTTTATCYAAARATAAACAAGGTRCTTCATGCCCCGCCCCCCACCAGCTTCCAGCATGKTCTATTGTAGCTTGATTGAGGGGTTTATGACTAAATAGCTGCAGCAGGGTAGGGTGATATTGAAAAAAAATAGTGCCATTTAGCCAATAACAATTAAAAGATATTTGCATGTTATTGACTCTAAATCAAYTACCCTGTGTTCTAACATTATACTTACAAATCATCAGTCAAACTAACTTTTACATTTTATCAGGTTAAAACAGAAAGCTGCGAATTAAAACAGGAGTTTTTAAACTTTTTGACCTCGGGGCCCAATTTGTTGAACATAAAGTGACACGAGGCCCAGTCAGACATTACCAAAGTACTGATCAAAATAATAATTATTCTAAATCTTGATTTAATTCGTATTGTATTTGCATTATAACTAAATTAAATACACTTACAGTTTAAAAGTAAAACTCCTGTCAAATAATCACAAGACATGATTATGACATATTTATATTGTAACCTGCCCATAATAAGTATTTGAACAAATACAACGGTCAGTCAACAGACCACTCAGGCTCATCAACACAAATATATATTTAATCAATAATAACAAAAATAGGCAATTCAATAAATAAAATTGTGGTCATGAAATAAATACATTCAAAAAGTTCCATGTAAATGTTTCAAATAAAAAAAACTGTAAAAATAACTTTGATAAAGTACGAATGAAAATAAAGCCTTTTTAAACTTTTGCAACCAGAAGCTGCTCTTCATATTAGTGACAATAACAGTAACAACAGCTTTTTGACTAGTTTAAACTTTCTTTAAAATACATTCAAAATGTTTAGAAATAAATTACAAGAATTAATTTGATAAAGTGCAAATTAAAATAAGGCTGTATCTGCGACTGTATTTGATAATGTTTTCAACTTTTAAAACAATGCTTGGAAGAACCAGAAGCTGTACTTCATATTAGTGACAAACTTTGGCTTTTTTTGACAGATTGCCTTATTTTTGCTTCTACTTTTCAATTAAAATAGGTTTCTACTCTCGGCAGGTTTCTTCTTCTACATATTAAAAAAGTTGTTATCCGAGTGGCGCACTACTAAGCGTATTGCACTTTATTCAAAATCAATGTGGTCCGGCAGTCCTCTGTGGCCCAAAGTTAAAAACTGTTGTTCTTTTGAGGCCCTCAAGGTGGCGCTCGCGGCCCATGGGTTAAGAACATCGTTTCTACAATGTTGTTTGGCAGCAGATCTTTAGTAACTTAATAAGCTACAAGCTCACATATACTGTGTGCTTGATAGTGAGTGTTGCACCACTCATCACATGGCACTAACTGCAGTAATTGAAAAGTGGCCAATATTAACTGCTGATAGTTTTTCTGACATTTAATTGCACACGATATGATTTTGAGCGACACAAAAATGTTTTCTTTACAAATTAATTAAAAGATGTCAACAACAGAAAACCTTTCCATCCAGCTGTACATGTTGGAGCCAGAGTCGGACCCAGAGCCAGAGGAGAATGAAGACCACCAAATTACAGTCGGTAAGTCCAGACTTTATTTGGCAGTTCTGTCACAAATACTAAGATGTAACAGTTCAGAAAATGGCATGGAAAATAGAGAAAACTGAACAGTTTGAAACATATGAGACAAACAGAATATAAATGTATCTACGCAGCACCAGGAGAATATAGTATTTTTTTCTGGACTCCTAGAGCCTCCAAGTCAACAACTAAATGTATTTAAGGGCTAAAAAATTGGATTTTGCATATAGCGGGTAAAATAAGTATTGAACACGTCAACATTTTTCTCAGTAAATATATTACTAGAGGTGCTAATGACATGAAATTTTCACCAGATGTTGGTAAC